GATCTTGTTGCGGGATACTTTGAAGTAGGTAGTGCAATCTCCCAAGATGGAAATGGAGTGTTCTTAGGATGAATCCCATGGTCAACTGGATGGCGGGCTGGAAGAGAGTTACTTCCAAATAAAGAGAGATTAATGAAAACAATGCAGTTGCAGTTGAGTTGTTGTTAATCATTGCGGCAATAAGAGTTGTTGATCATTAAGGCAATACAGTAATCCATCAGTACTAACACACATCTTCATTATGAATCCTACTTTCGATACTTGCCATGGTCCCCCTTTATTTTCTTTACATCCAATTGTCAGCAATAACTTAGTTCAAGTGCTACACTGCATGAATAATGAATTAGCGTGTTCTTGCTGTATTCTGTGCAGCTTGCTGTATATCCTCCTGCTATTCCTGGTGTTGCAGTATGTACCGGCTTCTATGGTAATGCAGTAGAACCCAGGTTTTCAGGTATCAAAACGCAATTAGAAAGAGAGTTTGCATCGCTCAATGGCTGTCATTGATTGGCAGCCACATACATTCCTATTCCCTTGGTCCTAATAACTGTATGTTACTCTATAATGTATTGCTCTGTCTTAGTTCAAGAATGAATATTCTTCATTACAGTATATGCATAGAATGTAATCCTGGGTGAGTTGCACAGAAGGTTTACATGAAAACCACAAATCGATAGGAACTGGTGGAACAAGTACTACTGCCATCTACAGCATCCAAAAAGGCAAAGAACCATCGTTGTATACTTTCTAGCAAGCTATTGAGCTCATTTTATTTAGTAGTGGTATAGTGTAAGCAGTTTAGTAGTTCAAGTTTAATCATTGGTTAAAGAATGCCTGTTTCCTTGTCCTCACCATGGGATTCTTTCTCCTCACCACCATGGGGTTTGCGACACTGCCGTTTGCAGGATTGTGGCATGGAAGCAATGTACAGAGGCTGCTGCAGCTGCGCGGAAGCAACATAGGGAGAGGCGTAAGAATGTTGCAGAGGAGGACAATGGTAAGAAGATTGTTGCTGGAAAGAATGGATTTGCTGTTGTTGCTGCTGATGCCAAGTATTGAACATGTTACTAACAGCAGCTCCAAGGAAAGTTCCTCTCTTTTCTCATGGTTCTTAATGAAGTCAGTGAATCCTGCAGCATTGGGGATGCTTGATTTCTTCTGCTGGTAGGCTCTCTTGTTGGCAATAGGGGTTGTTGATGCTCTTGGTGTCTCTCCTCTTGGTGTCTCTCCACCAACAACAGGAGGAGCATCATCTTTGTCTCTTCCTTGTTCCTCTCCAGCAAGAATAATTGTTGGTTCTTCTTCTTCCACTTCAGCAAGAATAGTGGCAGTTTTGGTGGGCGCTAAACCCTCCACAGCCTCACTTTTAACATAGCCTTCCATCAGATCAAAGTCCTCCTCTCCAGTACCAAGATTTGCCCGCCAACCAATCAAGATGTGGGCTTCCCATGCCATCTTCACATACTCTGGGATGTTTGGGTTCCTGGTGGAACTCTTGATCCTCTTTGTGGCTGCATACTTAGTCTTGATGGATGTCSTGGTTCTGAAGAATGGCCACATTTTTGCGTGGCCAGCAACTAGTATGCAATCCCACTCATCATTATTAATGGGAGCCCTGTCGACTATCATGCCAATGAGACTGTTTAGCTCATCATGAGTGTAGTTTGCTACTCCAGCCTTGTGGCCACCACCACTGTTGCTGTTGCCATTACCGGCCATCTTTGTGTTAATGAGTTCTCTCTTTGGTGCTGTTGAGTAGTATGCCGGCCGCATCCTCCTCGTATTGCTTGCTCCGATAAAGAAAGGAAATAGATTGCACTGACTAACACACCCAGCACTGACCAACACATACTTTTATGTCCCTGGGCACTGTCCCTTGGTGCCATTCTTAATAAGAAAGGCGCCTCCAATGTTGTTGATACTACTAGCCATGGTGGCTGGCGCTGCACATGCTCATTCTTGTTTACTAGAAAAAATAGTCTTAATTTTGTCCAGTTCTGTCTTAAGATTCTGGCGGGCTTTCTGTTGAGTCTTTCAATGGACTCGAACTTTTGAATTGCGAGTTCCATCATAAAATTTATTACTTTTGATGAGGGTCAACCAAGCTCATCAAACATAATAAATTTTTGTTATAAATGAGCTAAATTTTTGGTCTGTCAGTCTATCAAAAGTAGCACATCTATTAACAGGAATCACCCAATCCCGTATTTCATCTATCGCATGTACTAGAACTACTAAGTACAATTCCCATGCTGGAGTTATTGGCAATCCCTGTACAAATACTAATAGAAATTTTTAGCTCATTTTTACAGTTAAAACCAGAAAAAAAAAGCATCCAACGGACAAAAATAAAAACATCTCCATTGTTTAATTTCTCACTAGTCCCAAAATATTTCTATTAGTGGTCCTTAATACTGGGGATAAGCTCTAATTTTGTATCCGCAGTAGTAAGGATCACTAATAGAAATATTTAGGGACAGGTTTTTTGTGCGGAGGGGGGGGGAGAGGGGAAATAAAGACGGGAAAGTAAAAAAAATTGACACTCGGGAAATTGCCTTTAACTTGCCAGCACTGGAATTGTACTTCGTAGCTCTATTACGTACGGTACTTGTACGATCAAGAAAGAGTCCGACAAAACTACGGTACGGTACGAATACAATTTCGTCCCTGGGACGATCATCATTGACTATTTTACCACGCCGGGCACGCTACCAGGCAATAGTCTGGCAATAAGAATGGTAACTTGCTGGCGTTACCAGAACAGTTACAACAATCTGGTGGGATTTATGGTAGCAATCCGGTACTATTCTTACCAGTTACCAAAATCCGACTAGAATTGCTACCATCTTGCTACCAGATTGCTACCAGATTGCTACCATCAATGCTACCAGATTGCTACCATAAACGCTACCAAAATATATGCCGCGCTACCAGAATTTTTTTTAATGTCCCAGCCCCCTCTTAAGTATGACTCATTCAAACGAATACGGGGGCTAAGAGAATCTAATTATTATAGAAAATATTTATGGTAAAATGGTAGCTACCAGATTTCGACTAGAATTGCTACCATCTTGCTACCATATTGCTACCATTTTGCTACCAGATGGTAGCAATTTTAGTCGCAAGATGGTAGCAATTCTGGTAGAAATTCTGGTAGTAATAGTTTCTTGGAGGTCCCGGGACTGCAAATATGCTTCATTTTATGTGTTAAGCTGCGCCTGCTGTTTCCATTCAAGTAACGGGTCTAGTAGGAAAGGTGCGTGGTAAAATCTTCAATGATGATCGTCCCTGAAAAAAGGAGACATGCTCACTACTCACTATCGCATGTGCCGAAACTGTAATTGATTCACATGAAACCTACAAAGGGTATTTTTTTTGTTACGCAGCCTGGACYAGTGAAAGCGCGTGCTGAAAAGCCGAAACGGAAATATCCAACTTGACCACACGCTTTGGATTCAAAGCTCGAAGTGAATGGAATTTGCTGGACTGATGCATTTGGCATTTTCACATTCCGTCTAAAGATGACTCTTCGGATTTTACCATGTGCTCTTAAATTACTTATCGGAGCTCCGTCGACCCAACTTTATTGACCATGCTCAATGAAACGGAACATGTGTCAAACAGGCGCTAAAAACAAAATATCCAAGCGATGTTCCATAGTGAAAACAAATAATTATTTTATTGCTGCTCGACTTTTTTCTGGTCGACGTGCTCNCGCTAAAAACAAAATATCCAAGCGATGTTCCATAGTGAAAACAAATAATTATTTTATTGCTGCTCGACTTTTTTCTGGTCGACGTGCTCGAATTTCAAAAATTCAAGTCATTCTACGTAGTTCAGAAAAAACGGAGTTTCGTCATCTTGGATCTTATCTTATCAGGCTACGGATAGTTTGAGGTAAAGTACGTACCAGATTACCTGCTACCAGTTTGTTGCCATAGAGGTCAAAAACAAGGATAGAACACAAGCGGCAACTATCAAAGATCAAAGATCGAGAATCATTATATATCAAACTACGAGTCGAAAACCCAAGCAATTRATAATGAATTTCGTCTCTTGGATCGTTGCATCGATCTTAGTCCTCGCAACTTTCGGAAAGACTGTGGATGCCGGAAAAGAAGACTGCTATTACGATGGGGTATGGACTTCCCATGGTAAAACGTACAAGGGATGGACCGAGACATGCAGGTGCAACGATGGMGGCTGGGTAGAATGCGTTGAGCATTCTAGCTCGGATAAAAAGAATGCGTGTTACTGGCACGGAAAAGCGTATGCTCCTCATCAATGGCACGAAGACAAAATCCAAAAATGCTATTGCGAAAAGGGCAGCTGGAGGGACTGCAAAGATTTAAAGAATGACAAGTGCTTGTGGAATGGCCATTACTGGGAGTCAGGCAAGTGGCATGAAGACAACGGAGAAAAGTGCTACTGCTGGAACGGAAAAA